AATTATCTTGGTTACGTGATTGGTAGCGGAGGTATTTGCACAGATCCGGAAAAAGTAGCTTGTATTGTAAATTGGCCGCCGCCAAAAAACTTGAAGCAAGTTCGAGGATTTCTAGGAGTTTGCGGTTGGTATCGTCGGTTTATATGCAACTTTTCCGATCTCACTTGCCCCATAACGGACGTATTATCGACAAAGAAAAAGTTTGAGTGGACCCCTGAAGCACAGACCGCAATGGACAACTTAAAACAGTGCTAACATCCTCGCCGGTTTTAAAAAATGCTGACTTTAAGAAGAAATTTTTCTTACATTGTGACGCTAGTGATTTGGCATTGGCGCCGTTTTAGTACAGATGTCTGAAGATAATGAAGAACAACCGATAGCTTTCATGTCAAAAAATTAAACCGTGCAGCGAAACTATAGTGTTACCGAGCGTGAATGCCTAGCAGTCATATTAGCCATCGAAAAGTTCCGATGTTATTTGGAACTCCAGGAATTTGAAGTGGTTACCGACCATTCTAGTTTGCTATGGCTTATGCGCCAGCAAAATATATCGGGTAGACTGGCACGATGGGTTTTTAGACTGCAACAATTTAAATTTTCCGTCTCCCATCGGAAAGGCAAAGACCACATTGTTCCCGACGCTTTGTCTCGGTTGCCTGAGAAGGAAATCGCTCAATTAGACATGGGTCCTGTAATAGATCTTGAGTCCGATACATTTATGGACGCCAGCTATGTACAAATTAAAGACAAATTTTCCCAAAATTTTACTCAGTTTCCGGACATAAAAATAGTTGATAAGTTTTTGTATGTACGCACCGAACATTCGAGGGGAGACTCGTCACAAGAAAGTCCTTCGTGGAAACTATGGGTGCCTGATCGACTTAAAGTCGATGTGCTCAAACAAGCCCATGACAGCATAACGTCGTCTCACGCCGGCATGCAAAAAAACCATTGAGAGAATCCGCAGACATTTGTTCTGGCCAGGATTAGTTAAAGATGTACGTGAATACATACGAAATTGCGAGATATGTAAAGAAACTAAGGCTCCAAATTATACCCTTCGGCCACCTATGGGTGCTCACATCCCAACTTGCAGACCATTTCAAAGGCTTTATATTGACCTGCTTGGGCCATACCCTAGAAGCAAAAGCGGTCATGTGGGATTGTTAATAGTCTTAGATCACTTTAGCAAGTATCATTGGTGCAGCCCCTGAAGAAAATTCACCTCAGCTGTGATAAAAAAATTTCTTCTTGAACAAATTTTCCATTGTTTTGGTGTGCCACAAACTATAATAAGTGACAACGGCACCCAGTTCAAAGCTCGGTGAGTTCAATGCCTTCTTAGCCGAACTTGGCATTAAACATCTGTATACAGCTCTATATTCACCGCAGAGCAATGCTGCAGAACGAGTTAACCGCTCAATACTCGCCGCCATTCGCTCGTATTTAAACAGGATCAGACCCATTGGGATGAACATATTACAGGGATTTCATGCTCCTTAAGGTCTGCTCTGCACCAATCGATTGGGTGTTCTCCATACCGTGCCCTATTCGGGGTGGATATGATCACTCATGGTACCGATTACAAATTATTGAAGGGAGTTGTCCTTATTGGAAGAAACCGCAGGCCCCCCCTGTTGCGGTCTGACCATTTGGCATTGCTAAGGACAGATATTCAGAAAAACATCAGGAAAGCCTATGAGCGCATTGCGGCTCAAATATTAATTTACGCAGCAAAGCCTGTTTCTTTTCGTGAAGGACAGGAGGTGTTCGGTCGAAATTTTGCGCTTAGTAAATTCTCACACAATTTTAATGCTAAACTGGCTCCCCAGTTTTTAAATGCCGTGTCCAAAGAGAAACTCGGAAATTGTTTTTATTCCTGAAAATCAGCAAGGAAAAGAATTGGTACTTTTCATGCCAAGGACATTAGAGTCTAATTCCCGCTAATATACCCGTCTAACGGTAGGATATTATCGGGTGGTGTAATGGTCGCAGTTTTCCTATTTAAATTAAACCGCGTAAGCGATCCTAACAGCTTGCGTTTGTGTAACGACGCTATAGCGATCAGCTTTTGTCTGTCATGGTCAGCTGCGAATGAGTCAGCCGCTGCTATAAACCGCCTGCGTGCACGTTGGCAGCGCAGCTATCTTCCCTCTAATCCGGGAAAGAAAAAAGCTCTGAGACCCTATATAAGCCTGCAGGTCCCGGATATAACCCTTTTTTTTTTCAAAAGTTACTTTACCATCGAAGGTCTGGCTACGGCGGTGCGGACATAGCCCCACCAAAATATTAATCTAAAAGCAACAAGTTCGGGCATCAGTCGTTTAATCGTTTAATTTAAATTCCAACTAAATTGAACCAAAAACAACAAAAAAATAAAAAGAAAAACCCTAAAAGTAACCGATTGGCGAAATAAATTTTTTTTGTTCATTTGATGATAACCTTTCGCTCCGCCACCCCCGGCCACCAGCACCTCACCGGCATATATTTCTGTGTGCCAAGATCTGGTCACAGTTTTAACCCAGTTCTTGCTTGCCTGCCGAAAGTAATTTTTGGAGGAATAAATCTTGCCGCCGCCGTCTCTGACAGAAAAACCCACTTATTTTGAGGCAGCCGCCACGTGTGCCAATTGGACGGCACTGTAATTTCTTCTTGGGACGGCAATGACATTTCTGCCCCCATTAAATAGACGTCAGCCTCAACGGCGGATCAGCTGCCATACCCTTGCTCATTGCCAGCAAGGGCAGGCGCCGTTTCACAGTTTGGAATCCGGAAGAGGCAGTAGCCTTCTGGCCCCATTGACCGCGCCGCTGATCAGAAGCCCAGATGACATCGCCAATTAAGTTGGCCGGAGCGTTGCAGATGCATGAGAAATTGCTGTTAAATGTTTTTAGTAAAAAAATTGTTAACTAAATCTTTGAGAGACTTCCAAAAGTTTGTGAAAAGTGCATTTATTAGGCCCCTCAAAAAAACCCGCGTGCAAGTGCGTGAAAAGAAAAATTGACATCTATATACATAGCTTTATATATATAGAAAGGAATACTAGTATAAATCTATCCCCCTTCTTGTAGAGTCCAAAGTCATTTCAGAATTTTTTTTTATATTTTTTTTCCCACTTATTTTCGGAGAGTATCTTCTTAGTACTCACAATTTAAAAACCCTCCTGTGCCATAATATATAATCAAAAACAATTTAAAGCCCCACAGAAGACAAAAGAAAACAAATGAAAAAAAAATTAAATAAAATTTGCTGCAAACTCTCCGCTGGAAGGCCTTTCATCGAGGAATACATGTAAGTTTTTAACCTTTTGTTTTGAGTATATTTTCTTATTTTGGCACAGATAAGCACAGCCAAACTGACATGCGCACCTGCTGAGTTTTTTTTACTTTCTGTTTCACATTACGCTTTAGCTCCGATCAATATGTTTATGACCGTGTCAGTCTGGTGAATGCTTATCATCTTTGATTCTACCTACACCCCGCTCAATTACTAGCTGAAACAGAAGCAACCTAAAAGAAAAGATTTTTAACAGAATCAAATATATGTACACAAAGATGTATCATCGTATTCACCGATCAGCTGGTTGCGCTGCGCTCCGATTTGCCCATGCGCTTTGAGCTTAACCTTCTGTTGCCCATATTTTTTTCGACCATACAATTAACCATCAACTACAATTGTATTGACTCTATTATAATAACTTTTTTTTTTGCTTTTGCCGAATACACTTTAGTTCAATTTACGAATGTCATTTTTTTTCTTACCTAGCTATATTCTATAATTATTAAAATGCACTTTAGCGAAATTTGGAGAGTTTCTTTTTGATCAATAAGAAAAAAAAATATTAACTGAATAGTTTATAAAATGAATTATTTTTGAAGAATCTTTGAGACATTGTAAAAATATTAACGGACTAGTTTTAGTTACTGAATTATTGTTGATCATTAATGCCACTTGTAATAAGATGCAGATTATCTAACGGAAGGATTCAGTTTCATTGAATAATGCTTTGTTTTATAATAATATTAATTACGGATTTTGATTATGAATTGCTAAGTTTTCTTTCCTGGTGACATGGTGATATAATGTAGTAGAAGAATGTTTTTTTTTGGGATCTTCAAAACCTTAAACGCTGAAGATCATGGTTGGGAGGTATCGAACGCGAGAGTCAGCTTACATCCAAGACTTCGCCTCTTCGGAATATATATGCCCTAATGAAAGCTATCACCATTGTATTGGCACTTAAGTGCTCGTTAAGTTATGCCTGTTTGAGATTTTGTTTCTGCGGAGTATCGGTCTCCAATTTAGATTCTGTAGGGATCCTAAAATAAAATTGTGTATGCAGGTCGAGACATGGCAAAAAGAACCCCCCCACCCGAAAGAGCTAGGGAACAAGAGGATCCCGCCCTGCCATGCTAACTCAACCACGAGGGGCCTCGGTGACTACTTCCCGAATTATTTGTGAAGATTGGCTGCCAACCGCCGTCACCGTTGCTACCCGATATGTATTGCTAGAGTAGCTTCACCACAGTACATGCCACACATATATGTGTTACATACACAACTAAAAAAAAACCCGGCGCCGCCCAGTTCAAGTAAATATTGAATACAAAGCTCTGTTGGTCACCACACATTTACGCATTCCCCACACTTCCGTTCTATGCCATTACTCAGGTTTTTCATCAGTTCCTCTTCTGCAAATGAGATACAAACTCACATATAAAACTTATATAAATTGGTCTCCCCTCAAGTGCACAAGAGAACAAAACATGTATTTTCATTTATTCAAAATGTTCCTACTTTCATATTTAACAATTATACTTATAAGCCTCGCTCTCAATACGAAGAGGCTTAGATAAATATGCCAATCTGTAGACTGATTCGGTCTTGTCAAAAAAAAAAAATAAATTATTGTGAACTCCCATTCATTTGCCATGACTTGCGGTTTGTTAGATAATATGATTTGTGTTTTATTTATTTAATAGTGACAAATTAACTAAATAAATATAAATATTACCAGCAGCTACTGGTCTTGAACGGGCGACATCTCGCATACTAGACAGCTCAGACACCAAATTCACACAGTATCTGCAAATGGGTTGCTTATGATGTTTGGCGTGGCGAATATATCCTAACACCATCTTCGTGCTAAATTTCGATGAAGTTCTTTCGGCTTGAGCGGAGCGTTGGTCTCCGTACAGACTATTTTATGCATATATGATGAAACACTGATTCTTAAAAAGCTTACTTTCTGCAAAACACAAATTTCCTTTAAATGATAAAGCAATTTTTAAGACTTCGACAACGATTTGAATGCTTCTGCATCTGCTTGCCAGACGGCCAATTAAGCATTTGTCTTAACCAATTTCTTACGTGTCATCAGCGCACTGTTACCAGCACGCATAGTAAAGTAGTAGACAAACTCGATGGCGCTCAGGACGCTGGCGCCAAGAAAAAGACCCAGTATGCCACCAATGGATACAACGACATCCAGTTTGGTGCGAAGCACCTGACGGCGATATTGATCCGTGGGCCACACTGGCATCACAATTGTTACATTGGTATCCCTAACATTGGCAATTATGCTGCCAGCGATTAAAACACGTTAAAGATGTGTGTTCAGAACAAGGGATTCCCAATTTACCTGGTTGATCTTCATAGATGGCTTTCAAGTCGCCCTCCGTGCAGGAGGGCAGGCAATGGCAATGCAGTGACTGTGAACTAGCGCGGAATAGTCTTTTGATATCCTGCAGGACCAGGGAAAAACTTTCCAGACACAAGTAGCCCTTAAGGTCACAATCAGGATAGCGTTCATTCTCATATGGTATAAAATTGTACACGGAGCAGTTGCACAGCTCATATTGATACAGTCTCAAGCAGTCGCTGATGCAGGCACTGAAACTGTACGCCTTGTACATGCTCCATGGCGTAACCTCGTCGGGAAAGTAGCAATCGCGGGCGGCTACTGGAATATCCTTCATATTGGGATCATTCACCATGGCTTCCTTGTGAAACTGTAATGTCTTTTGCTGTCCCTCCCTCACAGTGACTTCTACAGTTGGCAGCGCCGTGGTTATGACATCCTCCTCATTGAGCACTTTAATGATAGCAGAGCGTGTCAGATGCAGTTTCATTTCCGGTTGGCTACCCCGATCCAAAATGGCCGGCAGCCAATGCTTCGATTCGGGCTTATTGTTCTGAAGTGAGTTGAGCAGAAAACAGCGTCCGTACGGCGTGATCATCGGCAGAAAGTAGTTGCAGCAGTCGAAGGTGTTATCCGACAATTTGCAACTGATAAACAGATCCGAGCAATTGAAACCAAACTGAAATATAAAACAATACACATTTTAAAATCGACCTCTTCAGACATAGTACACCTCTTCTCAATATACCCTTGTGGCAATCTTTCGAAAATCTTTCTTGGGGCACTTGGCGCATTCTTCACAATTTTCGAATGGTTGACAGCGCAAAAATGTGCCCGACACATACTGATGTGGAAACAATATGAAGGATACATACGACTCAACCACCCAGTTGTAGGGCTCATTCAAGCCTGTACCCAAGCTGTAAGAAACTTCCAGCCTGTACATAGCATATTTATATGATTGAACTGTTTCACATACCTCCGGATATAATCTTCCACATTTTTCGGAAAATCCGTATTAAATCGCGTTTCGCAAACGGTAATCGATGGAAATTTTAGCATCGCAAATGGCGATAGACTCTCGTGGACTATGCTGACAGCGCGCGAGGTGAAGTCGCGCTGATATTGACTGATCAGATTATAAACGCCTATGGTCGAAGCAATAATGCATAGCAGCCAAAAAATTCGCTCCGTGAAATGTAAACTGCAGCCAAATACAATATCAAGTTTATGTGCATATATACGCGTCTTTTTTACCCTTACTTATGATTGGCTATATAGGCAAAGCCTGCCAGACTACAATTTTGACAGTAATCCCTTAAGTAGGCCACAAATCTCCAGCCTAATACACTCCAGGACTGATTGTGTTTTTCCAGCTTCATATCCGCCCGTTTCATACGCCAATCGCCTGCTAACTGAGTAGAGCTATCCTGCAATGTCATTTATATAAACGGCACTTTTCCTGCAATCCATACTTTGAGCTTGTAGTTGGCCTATGGTAACTTAATTGCATGTGCGCCTGGTTATACCAGCCATTGGCCTTGAAATCCTTTTCCGTCGCTGCCTTTGCCTCTGTCTCGATTGCTCTCACTTTGAGCCAACTCTTGTAGCAGACTGGTCGGTAGGTTCGCTGCATTCAAAAAGCTATTAATTGGTATTTGCTTTGTGCAGGTGTAGCAATAAGGATATAAGTCGACCCCCAGAGCACACGCTCGTTGCGTCAATATATATAAATATATGTACTTATATATGGTACAAACACTCGAAGCAAAATAAATGGTTAATTTATGTGTGAGTGGGTTAACAACAGGCGACAAATGCGTCAACTTTGCATTTAGCAGCTCGAATGTCAGTATTTATTTTACAATGGACTGGTCAAATTTATACATAAGTAAATTATTTAAAGAAGAGAAATGAAATATGCATTTTACATATTAATATATACTATGGAGTAAATGAACAACATAATAAAATTGATAAATGGTCCATTTTATAATTATAAAAAGTATACATTTTTATATTAGTTACAAATTGAATAGGTTTATTTTTGTAATAAAAATACTTAAAATACTTACATTGACAAAACAAAAATTTACTACAACCGATTTGACTAAAAATCAGTTCTTAAATATTTCTTTAATTGAAGTAATAATAATATTAAAATACACTTTATGCTCTATATACACTACTAAATATAATTTACAATGTCCTCTTAAATTCCCAACAATCAAATCCATATTTTTCCACAGCTTTTAAGTTAAAATGCACACGAATTTGCTGGCACCTGTGCCAGGTTTCAAAGCCATAATTCGTAAAGTTTTTAGCGGCGCTACCGACACAGTACTCCTGCCCAATTACTACCGCCAGGCAGGTGGGCTGACAGTCAGGCAGGCGCGGCAGCAGCAGCAGCAATGCAGTAAGTTATTAGACAAAATGACTAAATAAGCGACCCATTCACACCAAACAGCCAGACACACGCCCACACCCATACCCATCAGCACACACGTGTAAAACTCAACTCAAAACTCAAACACTCAACGTGGCATGCATTAAATGTAGTCAACATGTTTTGGTGCTTAGAACTCGACGCTAAATTAGAATTATGCAATTACGACTCATTTACGTTGTTTGCTGCCTGGTGAAAAACACTTAAAAACAATTAGAGTGCTTATTGAAATTTGAACGTTGCCTGCATGACAGCATGCAACATGCATCATGGCCCATGCAACACTATTGCGAGCTTTTTAATTATTTATGCGCCCAAACATGCAGTTAAGTTCTTTTGGTTGTCAGAGTCCAGCAACAATAATTTAACAAACGCATTGTTAACAACACCCACAAGCCATTTTATTTCATCAATTGAACTTTTTTCCTTTGCCTTAATATGAAAATAAATAAATAAAAGGAATTTGTTGCATTCGCGCGAAAGTATTTAAGGTATTTTGTGGTCCGTCGCAGTGGGAAAGGTTTTAATATATTGCCGTACGAGCTAAGAATTTTTATAAAATTATTGCCAATGCGTGTTAAAAATTGTAAAAGTATTTGTTGTTGAAAAAAATTTTAAATTTTCTAAGTCTCCCCATATTGTATTTAATTAAAATTTGTTCTTGAGCTGGATTTCCTTTATACGTGTTTTTTTTTTTCTACTTTGAGTTCTTTTAAGAAAAATTAACGATATTTATTAGTTTAGCCTCATTAATGCTTTCCTTATATGGACTGTAAAAGCAAAATATTTGAGGTGTAATGATTTTAAACTTTATTCATTTCTTTAGTAACACATTCCAACTCAATAATTTCGCTTACCACATATATGGGCTTTACCCGCACCCAATGAAACAACAACACTTATCATTTAAACGAACCACTCTGTATACCCATATACCATTAACATATTTGTGCACTGGAAGTAACTGGTTTTTTGTCTGGCAGTGTGACACAAGTTGCGTTGAATGTCCAATAAAGTTGTTAAATATTTTTTGCACATTGTTGAAGTCGCCAAATCGGAAAACAAGACATTTAAATAAGACCAAAATGCAAAATATTTATGTTAAAATAAATAAAAGGGAAATCAATAAACAGCAACAAGTTGTGAAGTACTATGAATTTAAATGATTTCCTTTGTCGACGATTCATATTAAGCACGACAACATTTTCAATAGCCTGAAGTAAATCCATATTTTAACATTTACGTTTACAAGAGAAAAAATGTCGAACAATTATATTTCTTCTTTAAATGTTTTTATAAAAATAATGCAATAAATGCCAAAAATTAAAAAAAATTTAAATAAAACGAAAATGGAAAAATGTAAATGAAATGCATATGCCAACTCTTATCGACAATATCGATATCCATACTAATTATCTTGAATTGAAAATATAAATACGGCCATTAACATGCATGAAACTGAAAGGTTGAAGTAAATAAAGAGTGGTTTCAATATCCAAAGAAATTGATTCCATAAAATCAGAATACCCCTAAGCTTGCTTTGATGGGTAAAAGTGTTTTGCATTTTGCGAGATATTTGACTTGTGGAACGAGACTCGTCTATTTTTTGTTTGCCATTGTTTTACTTATTGTTGTTTTGGCCGCCTACGCAGCCAGACGAGAGTCGAAAGTTTTAGCTGCACTCTTCGGTCTGGTGGGGACACATTTTTGGCTGTTGTTTTGAAGTCAGATTTTATGTTGTTTACTTGCATATGGAAGTTCGCTGCGTAGCAGCAACAATTTTGCAGGTGTATCGATAAAATGTCAAGCGCAATAACAGTCACAGCAGCATTGACAACAGCAAACGACAGGGCAATTTAAATACTATCATGTGCATGAATAGAGCTAGCTAATGGTCAACTGTGCTTCGTTAGAGGGAGTGTTGGGGGGCTGCGGTTGTTGTTGATGTCGACACACAATTAACTTGAAAATACTTCAAGCCATGTTAAGTGTCAATTAGTTGGCATCAGCTCAGCGCCATGAATACGAAATTAACCAACTGTAATCAATAAACATTATTTACCATTTGCAGAAAAACGTGAGGTATTTGACGATTATACAAGATTTTTGTACCAGAATATCAATCAAAATATTGGAATATTTGTTAAACGGAAGATCAATGCGTTGCGTCCCTACGCTAACAAACTTTTAAAAGTTACAGGTACTTTTATTAAACAAGTAAGAGGTTCTAGTCGGAAGCTCCTTACTTGGGAATACCCTGAACCCTCTCATTCCAACACCAAATGCAGTTCGCGCAACGCTCTCACTTGAAGTAATAAAGATAAATTTAAAAAAAGGTTTCCTTGGCATGGTTCGAACTCGCAACAACTTGTCTTTTGATGCTGATCAGCGATATATACACTTTATATGGTCGAAGATGCTTACTTCTGCCTGTTACGTACATTTGCACAAAAATATTTTACCCTTTCTACCGATTTTTAATGGGTTCAATTTATAAAAAGTTGTGCAAAATACTGTCAGTGATTAAAACGAATGTCGGTTATGTGCCCCTCGGCGCTGAACTCACATAATTTGCAAACATTTCAACTAATGAATGAAATTGATTTTGACCAGCGAAACTAGCCAAAATGGGGAGCCGCAATAAACCAAATAGAGAATCAATAACACTCAAAATGCGATAGGTAAAACACGAATGCCCAAATATAATATACAGCCACAAACAATAAGCGTGTCCAAAAAAACATATAAAAATAAAAATTGCAACAAAAAATCGTGTTCAAGTACCACGTATCGTCGCCTGATCGACTGGGCGGCAGTGGCTGCAAACTGTCGTTCAGCTAGGGCCATGCCCTTTGCCATTCTACCACCCCCACGCCTACCTCAAAAGACTGCCACGATTGGGCAAACAAAATGTGGTTGTTGTTTGTTTTTTTTTTGTTTTTTGTACATGTGCTGACAATATTGCAACAATGTCGGTCAACGTTGAAAGAACAACAAACAAATGCCCACCCACCCATAAAAAAAAACACGGCAACAACACTAAAAACTACGATGAACATTTGGCAGGGACTTATGACAACGGCACGTAAACGATTGTCAGCCCAAATAGGATCTACTTGTGGTCCGGGGCTCGAACTCCGCACTACGAACTAGGCACTAGGACCCAGTTTGCATGCTGCTGCGCCAATCGGCCTTTAAGCATTAAAGTAGTCAGATAAAGACAAGAAAGCAGCGCAGAAGCAATAAAATGCCAATAACAATGCAATAATCATAACAATAACAACTGCAAGCCAAAGGCTGCCCACAAATGTTTCTGCTGCAACAGTGGCAACAGTTGCTGGCAATATCAGCGATAAAAGTTGTAACAATTATCATTTGAAAGTGCATTGTTACAGTTGTCAGAAGCGGCGCTCAAGTGGCTCCTACGGCCGCAGCAGCAGCTAGCAACGACAATGCGAGACTCGACAGCAACTACAGCTCGTGCCGGCAACAGCCACAACAACAACAACGACAAAAACAACCACAACAAACAACTTGTCGACGTCAGCGCTGTGAAAATTAATATGCAGAAACTGCTGCAATTGCAATTTGTTGTAAGCGCTTGAAGAAACAATGAGGATGACGCCGCCAACGCCGCCGACGAAGAAATATTTTACATATTGTGGCATAAATTTTCATGATTATCGCTGAAGAATATCAATTAGCTGCGCGCATTTCTATGGCTTGCTTTGGGGCTTTGCTCAAGCCATTGTCTAATGTGGAGCAGGCGCACATAATGAGTTATAGAATTGTCATTCACATGCGATTATATTGAATGAATTATGGCGAAGCTAACGATGCATTTCAGCATTGCGGTTTGAATAACGAATGTGCATTAGCATTCGATGGCCAAGTGATGGATGAGGAGAGCTTCCATGAACATGAAAGTTGAGAAGAGATATAAAAAAGTGACTTGTCAATTGTTTGCTTGGCTTATTTAACATTTTAAAAATGATC